GGCTTATCCCATCACGAGTTAATGTTTTAAACAATTCTTATTCAAATTACTATTTCGTTTCTGCCCCTTAACAGGCCCAGTACTGCTTGGCCAGGCTGTGCTGAAACTTAATAACCAGGCAAAGTGTGACAGCAACACGGAAAAAAGCTGTGCTGTATGTATCAATGCTTTCACAGTTTCATATAATACAGATGTGCACCTAGTACATAAAATGCTTTAAGAACAATATAGGATTACAGACTTTGGTTTTGTTTAAAAAATAAACTTTCACTAGGCATGGTGGCACATGCCTGTGATTCTAGCACTTGGGAGGCTGAGGCAGGAAGACAACCTTGAGTCTGAGGCCATCATGGGCTATATACTGGATTTAAGGTCAGCCTGAACTACATAGCAAAACCATGTCTCAAAAAAAAAAAAAAAAAAGAAAAAGAAAAAGAAATTTTCCCCTAAACTATTACAATGTAAACAGGAAGCATCTCTTAATCTCCCAAGACAGAAGCTTTTGCACCATTTTTAAATGGGGAAGAGTGGGAGGGATGCTATCCTTCAACAGAAGAGTGACCACTCCTACAGGTCCCAGAGTATGTGGGACTCAATCCAGAGGTTCCCATTCTATGCCTCCCAGAGTCAAATCCTTCTTCCTGACCAAGGCCATGACCTGGGGCACCACAGCCAGGAAAGAGACAGCAATGATTTCTGGAGCCCAGGACATTCTCTGGCCTGGGCTAGGGGTGGATTGGTATAGGCTGTAATGGAAGCCCTGGGGCTGTCAAATTAGGCTGCAATCACAGAGGGCCCTCTGTCTCTTTTGATGAAGGCTGCGAGGTTCCTCTGATTTCCACAGCCTGCATTTCTCAAATGCACACCACTGCCCTGGCCAGCGCAGTGGCTTTCACTGGCACATGCTACACCTACCACCTCCAACCAGTCTGAACTCTCCAGGTACCAACCATGTGTACCCTACGTACAACTGGTGACATCAGCAGCACCATCCTGAGGGCAACCCAACTCCAAACTCCATGCCTGCTTTCTCAGGGCATCCCTGGCACTAGCCAGAACAGACTGAGGACCCTGGGAATCAGACTTGTATTGCCAGCTGGAGTTTTACTAAGGAGTGCTCCTGGGGACAAGGACTAAACTAGGGGAAGCTGAAATGTACTGCTGTGAAGCACCACAACAAAACCTTAGCGAATGACACTGGAGGAAGGGGATATGGATGGAACACTATAATTACAATCAGGAGAAGAAAGGAACAAAAATTTTAAAAGCACAAACTGAATTGTTAACATGAGTTAAAAAATAAGGGAGAGGGGCTGGTGAGATGGCTCAGTGGTCTAAAGCACCTACTTAGAACAAGCTTGGCAAAGCACAGGGACCGCGGTTCAATCCCCAGCACCACATACCAGCCAGCCCCGCCCCCTGGTGGGCTGAGCTGGCCACACACACACACACACACACACACACACACACACAAATAAATAATTAAAAAAAAATAAGGGAGAGGAGGCTAGATGTGGAACACAGTTGTTCCCTATACTTGGGAGGCTGAGGCAAGAAGATGCAGCAAGTTCAAGGCCAGCTGGGCTAAATAGTTCACCACCAGCCTGAGCTACATAGTGAGACCCTGTCTCAAAAAACCAACCCAAACCAAAACAGTAAAAGGGAGAGCTCAATCAGTAAGAAAAAGCCTCAATTTGCCTAGTGAGTACTTCTTCAGCTTTATGTCAGATGGCATATATATGCATAAGTATGTAAAAAATATTTAAGAAAAAAAGTTTAAGAAAAATGCAGGATAATGGACTTTTTTTTTTTTCTTCCATGAGATGATAAAACCCAGGGCCTTGTGCCTAGTAGGCAAGTGCCCTAGCAGTGAACTACACCCTCAGCCCTGTACTTTACTTTTTGCTAAAAAAGAGAAATTTTGCCTAATGTGTTATAAACAAAGAGCCCTCCAAAATGCTGAAGAAAGTATTCACAAGACAATAAAATAGTAAAAACCTTCCTGTATTGTTTGTATAAAGTGCTTACAAATCAGAAAGAAATTAATTCTCAGATTAGCCCAACTTTGGTGGCATGCAAAATAAGCCTGACATTTTACTCTGCCCTCAAAGAGCTCAAAGGCTAGCAAAGAGTCATTTCAGGTTCCATCTTCAGGTCTATCCTGGAAGTGGCACACACCGCTTGAGTTCACACCCTGCAGACAGGAATCTGGCCATTTGATCACACCTGACTGGGTTAGTAGGGAAACTGTGTGCCTCAGGAAGGTAGACTGGGTTCTTGCGTGCTGAACCAGTAATTGCCAAAAGGTTCTGTAGAACAATATGACATGCCCATGTTTAGGAAGTGGTAGTCACAAAACTCAGGATAACAGTCACCTTAGAGCAGGTTTGGGGAAATTTTGAGATGCTGGCAATGTGAGCTGTTACTTGAATATCCTCACATAAGTTTATTAAACTGCATTTTAGATTTCTACAGTTCTAGTATTTTTTCATGGCAAATTTTTACAATAGAGCTCTAGGGTTGTCTCAAGAAGACAGAACAGTCCAATGCTTACCAGATATGTTTATAGATACCACAGTCAATCAAAAAGATCACACAATTAGATTTCAAAGTAACACACACCACAGGTTTAATGCTATGTAGTTTTACTAAGTAAAGGCAAACATTTGTACTTTATTTCCATAATTTCTGAGTTCAATTTTGATATTTATGTGGCAGAAATTAAAGGCTGATTTACCAGACTTCTTTTCTTGTAAGAAATACGACATGGGTTGGGGATACAGCTCAGTGAAGGAGGAGGAGGAGGAATTTAGGAGGAGGAGGAAGAAGAGGAGGAAGAAGAGGAAGAGGAGGAGGAGGAGGAGGAAGAAGAAGAGAAGGAAGAAGAGGAAGAGGAGGAGGAGGAGGAAAACTACGACAAGGAAGGGAGGAGGGGGAAGGGGAGAAATACGACATAACATAGCTCAGTGTGTGATAAGAACCCGGGAATTAAGTCTTTCTGTCCATCAGAACTCACTGAAAACCCACCAACTTTAATTCAGATTCTTCTAGGAAGAAATCAAAGAGGGATGTGAGTGAAAGATCCCAAAACAGCCCTACAGTTCCTGCTTCCTGGTGTTCCTACCCTTGGTAAACTCAATCATTGAGTGTAGATGGTTCATCGAGTGTCTGATTTCTAACCAAGAACACCACAAAGGTGGCAGGATATGTGAGGTCAGATAAGACTCATGTCTGTCAGGCTAAGGGAGACTCTCCTGCTTGCTTTGAAACAGCAAACTGCCTGAGACGAGGACCACATGAAAAGCATCTGAGGGTGGTTTCCAGACAGCAGCCAGGAAGAAATGGAGGCCTTCAGCATGAAGGCATACAAGGAACTGCCAACCCATGTGGGTGTGGAAAACAATGCTTTCTCACTCACGCCTCTATGAGACCCATCCTTAGCTGACACAGCCTACAGCCTCACGGGGCACTCAACTGAGCCATGCCCAGATTGACCCACAAAAACCATTCTACAATGTGTTGTTTGAAGCCAGGAAATTTGTGGTGACTTAGCAATATAAAATATAGAATCCTTATGAAAATTCTACTATTTTTTCAAATCCAAAAACATTTGGCAGAAAAATAAATTTATCTTTTTATGAACAAAAGTCAGAAGTTCAAAAGAGCATTTCAGGGCATGACATGAGTTTCGTACAAGATGGACTGACTACCATAAATTTTTTGACATTGTTATCAGAGGCATTTCACTATTCTTATCAGGTGTTGAAGGAAAGTACATCGCTACCTCTGCCATGTACACATTGTTCTACTATTTTTGGAATTTTACAGAAAAAAAATAGAAATGTCTGGATGCGGACTACATGCCTAGTTGTATCTTATGGGAAATAAAGAGAAATGGAAGAATATTTAGTGCTTATCTGGGAGTGGTGGAGCACACCGGTAATCCCAGTACTGGGCATGTTGAAGCAAGAGATTAGAAACTCAAGCCCAGCCTAGGAAACTTGGCAAAACTTGTCTTAAAATAAAAAATGTTTAAAAAGGCTGGAGATGAATTTCAGTATAAAGGCCCAGGTTCAATTCCTAATAATACAAATAAATAAATAAAATGTTTAAATATTTTAAAATTATTTTTCATTTCCCATAAAACTCTATAAATTGCTAAATATATAGTTCAGAAATTCTTACTGGCTTATTTGTGATTTTTATTACACTAAAATATGTAAGTAACAGATGCTTGAATGTGAACAGATTGAGATAGTAAGTGCTACTGTACTTATGAAGAAATTATTTTTGACAGCTTTTGTGCTAATATTTGGCAATGCTGTCAATTATTTCATATCAATCTAATTACTTAGTATTTTTCTCATACCTTACTCTATAGGAAAAGAGTAAACCACAAATAACTGGCCCAAACTTGCAAATTTATTTAAAAAAGAAGAAACCTGCTTTGTGAGTAGCAAAACAATTCTCTTATGCAAGATATATTTCATTAAAAGTTGTGAGCATATATCATTGTTTATACTATTATAATACATATCATAAACACACAGAGAACAACTGCTCTTTGCCACCCAGAGTTTGTATGTTTTTGTGACACTATAATACACATACTGCCAAAATACTTCTCTTACACTCATACCCACTCACAATAGCAAATACTGTGTACAGGTTCAACGACCCAAAAGCCAAGCAGAAAGCACTATGAAAATGCATCTCTTTTAAAAATACTTAAGTACTGATCCGAATTCTAAGGGAATGTTTAACAGAAATACCTGGAATTTTTTTAAAGCAGTAAGTTAAAGGACCATGAAATTTAAGTGAGCATAACTCAGCACTGAGTAAGAATAAAGCAGACAGGAACTAGGTTTCTTTGTAGGTGTGGTACTTGTGTATAAAACAGAGTTCCATAGAATAATTATACTAATTAATTTCACTTTCAATTCTTAGACTTAGGAATTATTAACATTCAAGATAATGAAAGATTCATAAAAATTACTTACTCTTTGTACTCTCTCCCCAGTTCTTAGAATCCACTACATCACCTGAATGCATAGCAGACATGATCTTCTGAGCAACACTGGAGAGAGGTATCTCACAGAGATCAAAGCCTACACATGTCTCATGATTGTCCATTTTCATACAGTCCTAAATGTAAGATTAACATAAGATAAATACACTTATATTGAGACTTCAAAATATGAAACTCCATTATGTATTTGGAAAATTATGTACTGAGATTTTCACTTAAACATCAATATTAGTAACCATGAGATAGGTTTCTATTATCATTTAATCCCAATAGGATGGTCAGGGGAAAAAACATAGCTAGACACTCAACTGGGGGTTAAAGAGAAAATAACTTACTTTAAACCAATTATGAAGCAATCTATTAAAATTGTTCCTCCATTTTGAAAAATGGTTATTAATCTTTAAAGTAAATAAATCTGACAGCACATCAAGTACAACTGACTTGGCTCAAGGCAAATGCAGCCTGCCAGCACTTCCACTGTTCAGCCTTACGGGTCTTAAGGGCTGAGCAGGTGAAGGTCTGGGTGGGAAGTATATAGACCAAGCCCTGCTCACACATCTAAATCATCTGACATTAATTTCAACAGAATTTGCTACCACAGGCCAAAAAACAAAGTGACATGTTTTTTCCATATTATTTGAGAAAAAGCAAATTCTATCTCAAGACAGAACAGGAAAAAATTAAGTCACTCAAATAAGAAACTGACAACTATAGGATAAAATTGACTGCTAAAAATTGTTCAAACATATTAAAGTTCACTTCATAAAAATAAGCTTTAATCTATACAGCAATTGACAAAACATTTTTATTCATGGGTTAGAAAAATTAACAGTGCTTACTTTTACCTAAGCGTGCCCATTTTTCTGATACCCATAGCTTAAAAAAATCCATGAAGTCCACCTGAAATGAGTTTTTATGGCATTCCATAGAACAAGCAGGTAATACTATTGAAGGTGTTACCTACAAAGTTACGTGGTAGCTAACAAAAGCCACAGATAAATTGAGATCTTAAGAATTTTGCAAATAAGCTACTTCAAATTACTTTGTACATTTTTTGTGTGTGCATGTGGTGTCATGAATGTAACTCAGGACCTTACCTTTGCCAGGCACACACTGCCATGCTGAGTTAAATCCTCAGCTCTATACTAACTTAATTTCTAATTGTCTAAATTACAAACCGGGCTCCTCAGCTAATTCCTCAGGGATATACTCTTAGTTTCTAATTGTCTAAATTGTAAACCAGGCATGGTAGCACATATCTGTAATCCCAGCACTCAGGAGACCGAGGCAAGATTGCCACAAATTCAAGACCTGGGCTCTATAGTGAGTACAAGTCCAGCCTAAGCTGCATAGCGAGACACTGTCTCAAACAAAAAAATCCAAATATAAAAAAAAATAGTATGTATAATGCCTATATTTTAAGTATTTTCACTCCTAAGACATTAAAAATGTACATCTTTTGATCACTTTTTAATAATTTTAAAACAAATTTCAAGTTTCATTTGAAGGCTATTTATAAGGCATACACATCATTTGTGTGATCTATCTTGCAGAAACCAATGTTCTTAAAATCCAGGAAGAAATAAAAAAAGATCAAGGGAGTCCTGGCAGTCTGTGATAAAAGCAGGAATACCCAGTCTCAGTCTATAGGAGAGAACAATGGGAAAATACAATGAGTGACAAAATCTTGTCAAAATTGAAGTACTTGGCTATTTCACTGTATAGCAGTAACCTCTCTGGGAAAATATTCCAAACCCTATGAAAGCCTGGAGCTGCTGGCAGTACTGAATTCTACACATCTGATAACTGACAGGGCTACCAAATGAGTCATTCTTACATAGCATATAAGAACAAAATTTATTCATGTCATGGATGAGGTTTGAGACTCCCTCATTGTACAGAAATGACTTAAAACTGGTTTCTGGAATGTCCTATTTAATACTCTCTGTGGGAGAGGGTATTAAATGGTAGTTAATGGTATTAACTCCTAAATGTCTTGAGTGAAAATAGTTAAAATACAGGCATTATACATACTATTTGTTTCTTTATATTTGGATAGTTTTGAGACAGTGTCTTGCTATGCAGCTTAGGCTGGACTTGTACTCACTATAGAGCCCAGGTCTTGAACTTGTGGCAACCTTGCCTCGGTCTCCTGAGTGCTGGGATTACAGGAATGTGCTACCATACCTGCTTTACCATGCCTTCTCTGGGAGAGGGTATTAAATGGGACACGGAGATAACACAGATGACATCAGGTAAGTAAACCTTCACAAAGTTAAACTAGCATTTACTATTAAGGCCTATAGATCTAAGAATGCTAACTCAAAGTTCTATAAATTTTCAAGATAATTAACACAAGAAAACAGTAAAGAAGAAATCTAACTGTATTAAAAGTATTTGCATCACATAATGCTTTTTCTCTGTGAGAGGAAATGTATCAGGACTAAGTGCCACTAAGCAAATAACCAAATGATAAAAAAACACTGGTGTGCTAAACCCTTTTTTTTTTTTTTTAAGTTTGGTACAGGGTCTTGCTACAAAGCTCAGACTGGAAGTGATCCTCCTGTCTCTGCCTCCCCAGCACTAGAATTACAGGCGTGCACTATCACACCCAGTTTCAGGGGCCGGCACAGCAGCACAGCACCCGGTATCTCCCCAGCCCCATCTGAACCATTGTCGTACAATGAAAAAAAGTGAACACAGATGATACAGGTGAATATTCCTTACATAAAATGCTTAGAAGCAAAAGTATTTTGGATTTCAGGTTTGTAATATTTACGTAGTACACCATGACCTCTTTAGGGAATGGGATTCAGGTCTAAATATAAAATTCATTTGTTTGATATGTTACACACACAACCTGATGGAACTTTATACAGTATTTTTATTTGCACCTACACTGTGACTATGACCCATCATGTAGTCAAGTATTTTTCACTTATGACATGTCAGTACATAGTAAGATTTTGAAGCACTGGATTTCTAGATTAAGGACATTTAATCTCTGTAACACGGTATTTGAATCTATTAAATGAAATGGTCCATTAACTTCAAATTTTAAAACATAGTATTTATTAGACATTCTCTTAATACATAAAACATTAAAATGTAAAATGTTAATACAGGTTTGGTTTTTGTTATTTTCAGTCTTTATGACCAGCAGCCTTAATTTTTGATTGGTTTTCTAGATTTTCCACAATATCTTTCAGATAGTCTCCATTTCTAAAAAAGTGTACATATAATTCTCTTTCCATCTGATGCAATTTATTAGTTGCCAGAATTTTTCTTTTTGTCTTCACATCAGCAAGAATATCAGTAAGGAGAAGATTTAGTTTATTCAGCTGAGATTCTACTTGATGAAACTGCTCTGTTATGTCCTAAAAGAGAAAAATAAAAATGCTTTTCATCAAGATTTTTATACCTAACACCAATTATAATTTAATATAAAAGTTATAGGGAAAGACTAATGATTTAATAACTCCTATAATTTTAACAATACATTGCAATTAAAGTTCCATAATAGGCTTAAGGATTACTTGCAAAATTAACTGCAACTTCTGACACGTATATTAAGTAATTCAAAGCAAATGTAAACTGTTCTATGCATTCATATACTCAATAAATACTACTGCACGCAAGTAGGCATGATAATGCATGCCTGTAACCCCAGCACTTGGGAGGTAGAAGCAGGAGGACTGCCTTGAGTTTAAGGCCAGCCTGGACTCCAAAGTGAGTTCAAGACCATCCTAAAGTGCATTGTGAAACCATCTCAAAAAGACCAAAAAAAAAAAAAAAAGCCTGGCAAGGTAGCTCAGCAGACTAAGTGCCTGCTTAGGCAAGTGCAGGGATCAGAGTTCAATCACTGGCACCCAATGCTACTGGGCCGGCCCTGCCCCCAGGCATGCTGAGCCCTGTGTCCAGATATGGTGGTGCACACCTGGAACCCCAGAGCTGGGTAGGTTGAAAAAGGAGGATCTCTACAAGACCGAGCTGATCCGAGCTGCATAGTAAGACCCTGTATCAAATACATAAAAAAA